GGTATGTGTGACAAGGAGAAGGTATGTGTGACAAGGAGAAGGTATGTGTGACAAGGAGAAGGTATGTGTGACAAGAAGAAGGTATGTGTGACAAGGAGAAGGTATGTGTGACAAGGAGAAGGTATGTGTGGCAAGGAGAAGGTATGTGCGTGAAGGAGAAGGTGTGGTGCGCGTGTGTGTTTGAAAAAGGCATGTTTGACAAGGAGAAGGTATGTGTGATAATGAGAAGGTGTGTGTGATAAGGAGAATGTATGTGTGACAAGGAGAAGGTATGCGTGGTAAGGCGAAGGTATGTGTGACAAGGAGAAGGTATGTGTGACAAGGAGAAGGTATGTGTGGCAAGGAGAAGGTATGTGCGTGAAGGAGAAGGTGTGGTGCGCGTGTGTGTTTGAAAAAGGCATGTTTGACAAGGAGAAGGTATGTGTGATAATGAGAAGGTGCGTGTGACAAGGTGATGGTATGTGTGACAAGGAGAAGGTATGTGTGATAAGGAGAAGGTATGTGTTATAAGGAGAAGGTATGTGTGATAAGGAGAACGTATGTGTGATAAGATAATGTATGTGTGACAAGGAGAAGGTATGCGTGGTAAGGCGAAGGTATGTGTGACAAGGAGAAGGTATTGTAACAAGGAGAAGTTATGTGTTACAAGGAGAAGGTATGTGCATTGTGCAGGAGGCAGTAATAACAGTAGAGCTCAGCACTGAAGCATCTATCTCAAACCTTGCTGCTGTAGGCTATTCATCTTTACCTTAGATTATTAAGTGGAGCCTTAGGGGATCTCTGTGTTTGCTTTGGTAAGGGTGTAGTAATGAGTCAGCAGTGTTGCTGCAGCCGCAGGCGATTTGATTTGTGATGGCGATATCGGAACGTTGATAAGTGTATATTGATTGCAGCATGTTTTAGTTCTTTATGAAAGTCGTGTTAATCCGTCGCTCACGGGACATTATGGGCTCATTCATAGCTGAATAAAGGCCGCTCTTCACGATGATAAACACCTATGTGTGAGTCAATAATGCCCCGATGTGTGGTATGATGAATTCTCTCTATACGTGACCACTCGCCTCTCTACGTGCATTGACGCGTGTGTACAGCATGTGTTCAGACCGTTTATAGCTGGCAAACACTATATTCACACAAATATTTGGCATTTCGTACGATAGATTCCCGAATGCTAAGTTTGCAATGTTGAAGCTGCAGCCACGGCCTTTGGTATTTGGTATTTGGCGTGTCAATGCGACAGCCACGACCTTGGCATTTGGCATCGTAGATTTTCTGCCTGCAACATGGAACTCTCACGTTGCATGATCTTTCTGACTAGCATTCAAACATTCAAACACGCATTTGTTGCGATGCCTTGATGGTAACAGGTAACCGGTCTGTGCCGGTGCCGGTCTATGAAATAGTGCCGGCTACCACATGCAGGCCCACGCGTGTACGCTTCATCGCATTGTCTGTTCCCCAGGTGACCGGTCCGCGCGAGTCCATGTACAAGCAGTTCTAGTACCAACGTCGTGTTCATGTAGTAGATGCTTCATCGTGTCGTCCGTTCCCCAGGTGACCGGTCCGCGCGAGTCCATGTACAAGCAGTTCTAGTACCAACGTCGTGTTCATGACGGATCATTCTTGACAGGACAGGAGGTTTACTGTGTTTAGTTGTGATTCGTGCACGCGGGCACGCCGTTAGATAGTAGAACAGTGTGCACGTGCAGGTGCTCATTTACAGCGCACGCTGATAGATATAATTTAATCATAATTAGGCTTATTAATTTGATTATGTTGATTTAAGCAGAATAATTGATGTTAATGTATACTGAGATGTGTTAGTGCTCATTCATACAAGGACACACATGTACACGTACTGTAATCCCACGCTGGCACAGTCAAATCTGCATGTCAGGGTCAATCAAGGGTAACATCAAAAGTATTGTTTTGATCTGTTAGTCTTTCCGGTTATCCAAGACCTGGCTGTACATTCAACCCTCTGGTAGCAGTCGTCACTATAAGATGGTCGCCTGTCTAGAAAGGACACTTGATTTTTTTTGCTTTGGTTGCATTTATATGGTGAAGCTATACGTCTGTAGAATGGTCATCTGTCTATAAAGGACACTTCTGGCATTTTCCTTGAGTAGTTATCATATACAGGTTTAACCATTCAATTCGAATTCCAAGAGTGTTATTTTATATAGACAGATGTGTGTTCTATAGAGGTGGTCTCACCACGTAGCTATGATTCAAGATAAATGCCAAATGTCATGTCCTTTATAGATAGGTGTCTGTCGTATCGTGATGGTTTCACCATTTAACTACAACTCGAGTGTGCCAACAACAATGCCAAAAGTGTCCCCTATACACAGGTGTCCCCTCTATGGAGGTGTCCGCTAACGCTGTGTTGACCGTGCGATTTTGCGACTGCAGGGCAGATGAAGTCCCTTCGTCTGTTCTTCAACAACGATGAGGGCACGTGTGGTCAGCTGGTCATCGCTAGCAGGGAGAGCCAGTACAAGATCTTCCACTTCCACCGCGGCGGCCTCGACCGAGTCGTCGAAGTGTTCGAGGAGTGGAACTTCATCGACAAGGCCAAGGAGAAGGTGAATGAGGGGGGTGCGTGAAGGAGAGGGTGTGGTGCCTGAGTGTATTTGAAAAAGGCATGTTTGACAAGGAGAAGGTATGTGTGACATGGAGAAGGTAGGTGTGACAAGGAGAAGGTACGCGTGACAAAGATAATGTATGTGTGACAAGGAGAAGGTATGTGTGGTAAGGCGAAGGTATGTGTGACAAGGAGAAGGTGCGCATGACAAAGATAATGTATGTGTGACAAGGAGAAGGTATGTGTGATAATGAAAAGGTGTGTGTGACATGGAGAAGGTATGTGTGACAAGTAGAAGGTGCGCGTGACAAAGATAATGTATGTGTGACAAGGAGAAGGTATGCGTGGTAAGGCGAAGGTATGCGTGACAAGGAGAAGGTGCGCATGACAAAGATAATGTATGTGTGACAAGGAGAAGGTATGTGTGACAAGGAGAAGGTATGTGTGACAAGGAGAAGGTATGTGTGACAAGG